AAGGAGTTGACGTATCTCCTCATCTTCTGAAGTGGTGTTAAGCACCTCCTGATACCATGCTTGCCTGCGATTCTCCCAGTAACTTCTTGGCCTAGCGATATCACTAAACCCTGTCACTTATACACATCTTATCTTATACCTTAAAGACAAGTAATAAAAAATTCCTTTAAATAATTTTCAAAATTGGAAATAACAGAGGATATTACGTTGTCTAATGAGTTAAATTAGGTAATTATTTTGGCATCTTCGTGAAATTGCTGTAACCCATATCATGATACTTTGTCGTTGACTATTTTTTAGAATTTTTTTCCCCTTTTTATGGAACATGCCTGTTAGAAGAGGAAAGAGGAGAGAAGGTTAAGCTAAGTGGGAGAGACGTGCAACCAAACCATTTTAAAAAGAATAGTAAAACTCAAAAAAATAAGAATGTTATTTTTTATCAAATTTAAAATTTGCCATATAAATTTTAGAGATTAGTATTTGTCAACTAAATTTTTAAAAAATTATGAAAAAAATTAAAATTAAATAATTTCAATAAATTACTATTAAAAATTAATATAATATAAGTTTTAAGTAAAAATCATATTGTTTTGATTGTTTCATTGAAAATGATTAAAATAACCTATTTTGATAGTATGAATCAAATTATTTTAATTTTTTCTCATTATACTAATGATATATTTTTAAAGTATTTTTTTTCTTAATTTTTTAAAATTTCAACGGATAACGCCAACGACATAAGTAACTTAATAGATAATGCCAACGACATAAATAATTCGATAGTAATCTTCTTTCGTTGGAAATAAGAGATTTTAAATTCAAATCATATGATATATGGGTGATGTGGAATAAGAAATAGAAAAAAATTATCTCTTATTGTGTAACTAATATATATAAAAAAAAACAAACAAAAAAAAAATTCAGCGGATAACATCTTTCTCTACACATTAATAGAAGAACTTTGCAAACAAAATTTTCTATTGTTTGAAATTAGGAAAAAATTACATTTACCCCGTGTAGTTTGGATTGAAGTGCCCCGTCTAGTTTAAATTGAAGTGAGTGCACTTAAGTATAAAATCATAAATACATTTTACTCCATATAGTTTGTAAAAATTCACTTAACCCTCATAATTGGAAAATATGTTATTGTCTCCCTTGTGGTTGTGGTATAAAAAATGTATGCTTCACCTTTCAAGTTTGTTAATATTGAAACTAAAATTTTAAAAACACTTGAGCATTAAGTATATATTTTCCAAATCATAAAAGAATAAAAAATATATTTTTATTATTTGAGAGTTAAGTACATATTTTTCAATTACATAAAATAAAATAGATATTTTTATAATTTAAAAAATTAAGTACATTCACCACAATCCACCACTCACAGAGGTAAGTGCAATTGCTTGATAAAAAGAAAAAGAAAAGAATATTGCTTTTATAATAGGCAGGTACTACTTTTTATAGAAA